GTGCTAAACACTTCAGATATATTTGTTCTCTTAATTGTCAAATGCCATGTGGTAGATACTACCTATCATGTTACAGATATAGACATTGAGTTCAAATAGGTTAGGTATAATAACTTAAGTCCAACGCCAGAGCTCTAAGCCACTAAAATGTATGGTTTCTGTGTTAGTTTCTTAGGGTTTTCATAACAAATCACTAGAGACCTGCAGGTTTAAAACAGCAGAAATTTGTTCTGTCACAGATCAAGAAGTGCCAGAAGTCTGAAGTCAGGGTCTTGGCAGTGTCAGGTTAGTTTATTTCTCTCCCTCAGTTCTTATCTCATTGCTACAAAGATTTGGAACAGCGGACTAAAGAGTTTAAAACAACAGACAAATTACAGCTCAGGCAGACAGATCTTTTATTAAACAGACACTCCCAAGACATAGGAATTGTAACAATCCCTCTTGACTTCCCCTTTTTATACTTCCCATCTCTTCCTCCTTTTGGTGGTGCCCTATGCAAAATAGGGCTTGTATCTACCACCAATAAGGAAAGGAAATGCAAATGAGCATATACTCAAGGCTGATTGACAGTTGCAACTTATATAACACCAGGCTTTGTTGCACATGTCTTCCCGTGATTCAGTCTGTTATAATCAGACATAGACATATGTAGAATATTTATGAATCCTTAATAGACTCCCAGATGTCTAAGGTTACTTGAGGAAGTCCTTGAGGTTAGTCTGTATCCACTGTGTGCAGAGGGCACCTGTGCAGGAGTTGGAAAAGTCTCTGTGGTCATTTTTGTAGTATATCTATGAGCCCTCCTGGATGCGTCTGGGATGGGGTTTAGAGATCAACCTGCATCCTTTTTGTCTGGGACGCTCCTGGTTGCTCATGCCTGACTTCCTATCTAACAGTAAGGTTGGTTATTTCTGGAGGCTCTGAGGAAGAATCAGTTCCATGCCTTTCTCTTAGCTTCTGGTGACTGCTAGCAATCCTATCCTTGGCTTATAGATATATCACTCCAGTTTGTGCCTCCATCTTCACATTTCCTACATCCCCATATCTGGGTATCTCTCTGTCTTGTTATGAGGGCACCAGTCATTGGACTTAAGACCCAACCAAAGATGGTATGATTTTACCTTGTTTATATCTCTAAAAATTCTGTTTCCAAATAAGATCCCATTCTGAGGTCTGCTGGGCTTGAATTTTTGGGGCAACACTTTTGAGTCCAGATGATACCACCATTATGGCATAAAGTGAAGAAGAACTAAAGAGCCTCTTGATGAAAGCGAAAGAGGAGAGTGAAAAAGTTGGCTTAAAGCTCAACATTCAGAAAACTAAGATCATGGCATCCGGTCCCATCACTTCATGGCAAATAGATGAGGAAACAGTGGAAACAGTGGCTGACTTTATTTTTTGGGGCTCCAAGATCACTGTAGATGGTGATTGCAGCCATGAAATTAAAAGATGCTTACTCCTTGGAAGGAAAGTTATGACCAACCTAGACAGCATATTAAAAAGCAGAGACATTACTTTGCCAACAAAGGTCCATCTAATCAAGGCTATGGTTTTTTCAGTAGTCATGTATGGATGTAAGAGTTGGACTATAAAGAAAGCTGAGCACCAAATAATTGATGCTTTTAAACTGTGGTGTTGGAGAAGACTCTTGAGAGTCCCTTGGACTGCAAGGAGATCCAACCAGTCCATCCTAAAGGAGACCAGTCCTGGGTGTTCATTGGAAGGACTGATGCTGAAGCTGAAACTCCAATACTTTGGCCTCCTGATGCAAAGGATTGATTCATTGGAAAAGACCCTAATGCTGGGAAACATTGAGAGCGGGAGGAGAAGGGGACGACAGAGGATGAGATGGTTGGATGGCATCACTGACTCAATGGACATGGGTTTGGGTAGACTCCGACAGTTGGTGATGGACAGGGAGGCCTGGCGTGCTGCAGTTTATGGGGTGGCAAAGAGTCAGACACGACTGAGCGACTGATCTGAACAGTGTCCTATGTTGTATTTGTCCAAAGATCTCCCATGTTGTTACACATTTTCATGAACACTGCCTTTGAATGGAGGTACAATATTCTCGTTCTCCTCTTTGGTGGACATTTAGGTTGGAGATGGCCATTCCTGGCACGTAGGACTTGCTGCAAAGCACATAAAGATGCTGCCTTCTCTGGGCTGATGGAGGTGTGCTTCCCTTGGGGAGCTGAGTGGGAGCCGGATTTCAACCTTTACTTACCCCTTTGCCAGTCACCTTTGTTCAGACCTTGGCTTCCATGTGAAGAGGGCAGCTCAGATCTGAGAGAACAGAACCTGGGATGGGTTATTACTTTTTCAGAATGTTTAAATAGCTCAATTCTGCATTTGGCTTTTCTGTTTCACAACAGGAAATACACAATGTCTGAATTGAAAGAGACACTAGAAATACCTCAGTTACACAGGAGGAGAGAATAATTATTCTGTTTTAACCTGCAGTTTGTTGATTCACTGTGTATATGTGAGTGTGTTCAGTTGTGTATGATTCTTTGCGACACTATGGACTGTAGCCTGCCAGGCTTCATGGGATTTTCCAGGCAAGAATACTGGAGTGGGTTGCCAGTTCCTTCTCCAGGATATCTTCCTGACACAAGGATCAAACCCCTGTCTCCTGAGTCTCCTGCAATGGCAGGCAGATTCTTTCCCATTGAGCATGATTGAAATTTATTTTTCAGAAGTTTTTTAGAAATTTAAACTAACTTTGCTACTAACAATGATTAGATCTCAAATCTCCCGACTTTCCTCAGTACCGGGATTGCATCATGATGAATCAAGTAGAGTCTTGCTCTAGCTGTGACATTATTTTAAAGTCATTGTTTTGAAATGTTTATTATCAAGGACATCGACATCTTTTTTATGGCTGTATTCCCACTTCTTTTGAAACTACCTAAACCTTTCTTCCTCTCTTTTGAACTTTATGTAGATGAATATTTTTTGACCAGATAAAATAAACAGTAAGTGTTTTTAAAATTAAAATGACCACTTTTCTGCATATCTTTTTAAATATTCATCTCTTACCAAAGTACTTTGTTTGCTTTAACAAGCCTGATATTTTTATAGCATATATTTTAAAGGGCAGAGGAGGAAAGATACAGCATCTTCCTATTCTGAAATGCAAATAACTTTTCTGATTACAATTTTTTTCAGTTTGGTAGAGAAAAGTTCAATCCATTTTCTAAGGCCTAAAGTAAATGAAAATAAATAATTCAAGTTTACAGTGTAATTAGTAGACCAAAAATTTTTGCTTTTGCTTTCTCCCCAGATATTATTATGGTTCCTTGATGGCAGAGAACATACTTGACTCTAGTGTTGAGGTTTAACATAATGCCAACCACACACTACTAATGCATTCACCTTGATTGAATGAAAAGAGCAACTGGCCTCTCTCCTTCCCCTCATCCTTTCTACCCTGGTCACCTGACTATCCAGTCTCTGAACACACTGCATCATTTCCTTCCTATCTCCATACCTTTGCTGCAGATGACTTTTCTCTAGTCATTCCCCTGCCAAGTTCCTACTCATCTTTTAAGACCCAGCTCAGATGTCACATTTTTCAAGGGTGAAGCATTTTTCAAGGGTGAGGTGATGCTTCATTCATCTCTATGTCCCCAGTGTCTGGCACAGAGCCAGAGTTAACTACATGTATATTGAATGAGCTATTGAATGCTCAGTTTTGTGCACCATATTACTTGGGTAAAAATATTAAAAAAGCTTTTTGTCATGAATCATGTCAATGTATGGCAAAACCCACTAACAATATTGTAAAGTAATTAGCCTCCAACTAATAAAAATAAATGGAAAAAAATAATAATTCCAGGGCTGCAGTAACCATCTGCAGTGATTTTGGAGCCCAAGGGGGAAAAAAAAATAAAAAAGCTTTTTGTGAAGAAAAAAGATTTTTTAAAAATCCTAAATTAGCTTGAAAATTTATGAATTGGAATCTCTCTTTTCTTGGGTATTCCTGATAGTCTGCTTTATAGCCTTCTATCCTGTAAACACCTTTTTCACCTGTGTGGAGGTTTGATCCTCTGAAAGCCACTGGACAAGGTGTCACAAGACCCAAACTTTAGCCTTGGTCCTCTGTGACAAGTGGGGCACCCGATTGCTTCTTTGAGATACCTTGTACCATGCAGGTAATAAAAGCCTAACTCTCACGGTTGCTATGAAGTTAAAATGAGGTAAAAGATGTGAAATTAACTTGTAAACTCTATAGCTTTACAATTAAACAAGGTATTACCATGCATAAGGGTATATTGAATTAGGCATAGCATCCTCTTGCATACCCCTGTGCATTTATTCTGCTGTTCTTTCTCCCTGGAATGCCTTTAAGAATTAATTGCTAGTCATCTGTGGTCCCCAAACACTTTATGACTCCTTATTTATAGCATTTGTCACACTGTATCAAGGCCATTTGTTTACATCTTTGTCCTCTGCAAGATTCTAAAGTAAACTGTGATTGATTCAGTGCTTGGTACACTGCAGGCTCTCGGTAAATGTCCATTGAATTGGATTGGATTGATTCAAATAATTATTATGTATTACCTGCTTGAAGGACAAAGTCTATGTTGATACAATTCTGTAGGTATATTGTCTGTTAACTAACCAGTATTGGCTCTAGTTAAAAGCTTACAATGAAGATGACAGTAATGGAATATTTGTAACAATAATTTGGTATTGTTAATTTAAGTGATCAGACTTCTTGAGTATATTATTTGTAATTTAAGTTCGTTAGCAATGAAAGAATGCCTATTGTCAAAAGCAATTTTTTTTCCCTGCTAGTGGAAACTTAAGCTCCCAGATATCATTTGTGACTCCATTTATTTGGTTCTCATCACTAACTTAGGTCTTCTTGTTCTTTTATAGCTGGTTTGCCATCCACCCAGTCAGCATGAAAAACACCAATCATCTTGTAAATAGTGACAACGTAGGCTATGCATCTTACCTTTTTGAACAAGAGAAGAACAAAGGTTATCTACCTGGAGAGGTGAGAATTTATGTCACTGAAAGCTTCATCTTAATCACTGAGTATCATCATTCATGCAGTGTTCAGAATAGCTGATTCAGATCTTCAGAGGAAAATGTCATCATGGATATCACATACTGATGTGCTTGGATAGGAAGAATTCTCCACCCTCTATTATCAGGAAAGAAAAAATTTAAATGATTATTGACTTTGTGTCAAATACTTATATTGATGACTTCATAAAGTTTCAGTTAGTTGGATTAGGAAAAACAAATTAAAGATTTTTGCAACATATAATAGTTTTTGATCAACTTGGAGATATGAGAAACTGTTGATGTTTACTTTTGTTTCCAGAGATATAAAATTATTATTATTATTTTTTTTAAGCACCTTGTTAATGTTGTAGGAATCCAAATGAGGACAGGGAATGAGTTCTTTTCTCTGGTCCAGCCTTCCCTCTTAATTTCCTTTGAAAGACTTTGTTCTACTTTCCTGCAACATGGCCTAAGTCAGAGACAACCCTAATCCATTAGACTGGTATTTGAAATGCAGTGAGTGATGGGATCAGAGCTGGGGGGTCCCGGAATCTAGTCCGTGTACTTTAGGAAGCTCATCAGCTCTGTGTAGATTATGGACTGCTGATAGGTAAGTGGTGAGGAAGGACCCTGCTCTGCTTGACCACAGCATCCAAACCTGAAATGCAGCAGGATATATGACGAGATGAGAACCCCAGGTCCTAGACTAGACTAAGTGTTCTGTTAACAACAGTATTAGCCCTGTGAACATTTGGCTTGACTTTTTAGCTCCTTAATTGACAATCTTCTATTTGTTTTTTCATTTTAGCCTGTTTTTTAGGAACAAGGAAGGAATTTCCCATTATTTTTTTTAGTCTAAGAAATGACACATAGTCTCCTATGCTTGATTATCTCTTTCCTTAGGTAAATTTAAGACACTTAAGGTAAAATGGTAGACCAGTTAGGTTGAGATTAAGGTCTTGCCCTACTGAAAAAAGATTTTGCATAGTTATTTCTGGTTGAAGAGATAGAGAAAAGATATGTGGAAGGCAAGTCTGGATGGTGGATGCTATATTTAGGTTCAGTTGTACAACAGAAATATCCAGATTGACTGTTTACTTTTTAAGCCAATAGGCTATTTATTTTTAAAGCAAAAATGGCTCTCTGAGTTCCAGGTACAACACCAAACATGAGATTATGGGTCAGCATTTTATAACTTGTTGCACGTTGTATTTCTTGTCAAAATGTTGCTGTTTGAGACACAAATTGGTAACTCTTACTTAAAATAGTTTCATTGATAATTGGAATATTATGAGTAATAATTTATATGTTGACTGGAATGTGAGTCTTTACAGAAACAAAAATCTTTCTCAGAATATTGTACCTGAGAAATATCCTCCTTTTATCCTATGCAAATGAATTGAATAGTTCACCAGAGTGGGTTGAATGTCTGCCTTTTTAATGGAACTCGTTGTAGTAAATAAGAAAGCATACAAGGCAATTGGATGTTTCTTTTGGCAGGGGCCGTATGTAGCAGCTTTTGCTTCATCAAATCTCGGAGATGTTTCCCCCAATGTTCTTGGCCCACATTGCACCAACACGGGAGAGTCTTGTGAAAATGCCAATAGCTCTTGTCCCATTGGTGGGGTAGGTAATGATGACATTAAATCTTTGTTTTTGCATCTCATGGACGTTTTATGTTTAAGTACTCACTGTTAATTTACAATTATGTTTTCCTCAAGTATACTCTGGCCTACTTACTGCTAGCATTTGCTCTTCTCAAGAGCACCCACTAAATTTTGATTGGGTAGAATTATAGTTTTCCATTTGATGCTTATATTTTTTGAATGGTAAGACAATTTAGTAAATGTCACAGAAAATATCCTTTCCTAAACTTGGACAGCTTGATACATTTTGCCTTGGCATTTCTGAAGTCACAATTTAGTACAAAAACTGCCTGCCTGAGACATTTCTCTCTGATTATCACATCTTTAGGGTTTTTCTAAAAATGTAACATCAAAATTCTTTTTCTTATAAATTACAAAACAACAAAAAAATGTGTTGCTGTAAAAACTTGAGGCTTCCCTTGTAGCTCAGTTGGTAAAGAATCTGCCTGCAGTGCAGGAGACCCAGTTTCAATTTCTGGGTCAGGAAGATCTCCTGGAGAAGGAAATGGCAACCCACTCCAGTATTCTTGCCTAGAGAATCCCATGAACAGAGGAGCCTGGCAGGCTACAGTCCATGAGTTGCAAGAGTCAGACATGACTTAGCAACTACACCAATACCACCACAAAAATTCAAACCACATGGAAATCTTAAAGAGCAGTAAAAAGTGAAAGTCCCTGCTTACCTTCCTCCCCTCCACCTGCTCCTTTTCCCCAAAATTACCACTATAACACCTCTTCCTACATGTGTGCATCCATGAACAACAATTTATAACTTATTTGTTGAGGTTTTGTTTTTTTGTGTCCAGGATTTGGGTTTTCTACCTAATTTGTCTATAAAAATCTCTTTATCCCTCTAGATAGTTCTGTGTAGTAAGCTTTACACTCAACAAGTGAGGCTGTGCCATTGTTTATTTAACTGCTTCCCCTCATCTGCATTTAGATTTTTCACCTTTGACATGAGCAGCAGGTGCTAGCTTCTGGTTCTTATTCTTTGTGTTTATAGAATATTTCACCTGTGATATTGCTTTTATTAAACACCGTGTTTAGGCTATTTATTTTATCCCAGTCAAGTCCATCCACCCAATGAGAAATATATTTTTAACAATTATACTTTTCTCTTATACTTTATATTTTTATATTTTTATATAGAAAGTCTTCCTATTATAAAGCAATGATACTCCAATTTTTTAAAAAGAAAAAAGAAAGTCTTCCTACACCAGAAACTAATACAACATTTTTAATCAATTATAATTCAATGAAAAAAAGTCTTTGTTACCCTTCATTTGCAAAATTTTTACACATTATTAATTCACATTAGAGTAGATGATTATTTGGTAAATTCCAAAATTCATACATGAAATGGTTAAATAAATTATGATATGTATTTGCAATAGAATATTATGCATCAATTTTATGTCTTATGTTAAAAAGGATGAATTCTAGCAATGTTCATGGCTCCAATTCCAGAATGATTTTGTTTTTCATAATCTGTAAATTGGGAGAACATCTGGAAAGAGAGGCTGGAATGTGGCCTTAAAAAAAATCTCTTTGCTGGGACTTCCCTAGTGGTCCAGTGGTTAAAACTCTGTTTCCTATGCAGGGAACTTGGGTTCAGTCCCTGACTGGTTGGGGAACAAAAGTCCAACAGGCCACACAGCCAAAAAAGAAAGTCTGTTTGCTCAGATTCGCTTATCATTTTCCATCCTTTGAAAGAATCACTTATTTCACTAAGAACATACCTTGCGTCATTTTGTTCCAGCCTAGCATGTGTGTTGCTGTGGGCCCTGGGCAGGATATGTTTGAAAGTACACAAATCATAGGACGGATAATATATGACAAAGCAAAGGTAAGCTGCGGACCCTGCTGCTTTTATCTTCATTCAAAACTATACTTTAAAATCCACTGACATTTTTCATTAGGAAGTTGGTCTTTGTAAGGAAGACAGCAAGAGCTCAAGCTGCCCCGAGTCTGAAGGTATGAATGCTGTTTATCAATCAGGAAACATGAACAGAGGAGCCTGGCAGGCTACAGTCCATGAGTTGCAAGAGTCAGACATGACTTAGCAACTACACCAATACCACCACAAAAATTCAAACCACATGGAAATCTTAAAGAGCAGTAAAAAGTGAAAGTCCCTGCTTACCTTCCTCCCCTCCACCTGCTCCTTTTCCCCAAAATTACCACTATAACACCTCTTCCTACATGTGTGCATCCATGAACAACAATTTATAACTTATTTGTTGAGGTTTTGTTTTTTTGTGTCCAGGATTTGGGTTTTCTACCTAATTTGTCTATAAAAAAATCTCTTTATCCCTCTAGATAGTTCTGTGTAGTAAGCTTTACACTCAACAAGTGAGGCTGTGCCATTGTTTATTTAACTGCTTCCCCTCATCTGCATTTAGATTTTTCACCTTTGACATGAGCAGCAGGTGCTAGCTTCTGGTTCTTATTCTTTGTGTTTATAGAATATTTCACCTGTGATATTGCTTTTATTAAACACCGTGTTTAGGCTATTTATTTTATCCCAGTCAAGTCCATCCACCCAATGAGAAATATATTTTTAACAATTATACTTTTCTCTTATACTTTACTATTTTTATATAGAAAGTCTTCCTATTATAAAGCAATGATACCCCAATTTTTAAAAAAGAAAAAAGAAAGTCTTCCTACACCAGAAACTAATACAACATTTTTAATCAATTATAATTCAATGAAAAAAAGTCTTTGTTACCCTTCATTTGCAAAATTTTTACACATTATTAATTCACATTAGAGTAGATGATTATTTGGTAAATTCCAAAATTCATACATGAAATGGTTAAATAAATTATGATATGTATTTGCAATAGAATATTATGCATCAATTTTATGTCTTATGTTAAAAAGGATGAATTCTAGCAATGTTCATGGCTCCAATTCCAGAATGATTTTGTTTTTCATAATCTGTAAATTGGGAGAACATCTGGAAAGAGAGGCTGGAATGTGGCCTTAAAAAAAATCTCTTTGCTGGGACTTCCCTAGTGGTCCAGTGGTTAAAACTCTGTTTCCTATGCAGGGAACTTGGGTTCAGTCCCTGACTGGTTGGGGAACAAAAGTCCAACAGGCCACACAGCCAAAAAAGAAAGTCTGTTTGCTCAGATTCGCTTATCATTTTCCATCCTTTGAAAGAATCACTTATTTCACTAAGAACATATCTTGCGTCATTTTGTTCCAGCCTAGCATGTGTGTTGCTGTGGGCCCTGGGCAGGATATGTTTGAAAGTACACAAATCATAGGACGGATAATATATGACAAAGCAAAGGTAAGCTGCGGACCCTGCTGCTTTTATCTTCATTCAAAACTATACTTTAAAATCCACTGACATTTTTCATTAGGAAGTTGGTCTTTGTAAGGAAGACAGCAAGAGCTCAAGCTGCCCCGAGTCTGAAGGTATGAATGCTGTTTATCAATCAGGAAAGTTGTTTCATATACCGCACAGGAGCCTCTCTCT